AAGCAAATAAGTGTCTACTTGGATAATAAGTATAGGGAGCATTACTGTCCAAGCTCAAATATTTCAGTCGATGAGAGCACTGTAGGCTTCAAAGGGAAAATAGTTTTCAAGTGCTACAACAAGTTGAAACCGATAAAATGGGGACTAAGAATATATGTTCTGGCAGACTCCATCAATGGATACATATGTGCATTAGAACCTTATTTTGGTTCTATTACCACTCAAAATTTGATCAGGCCTGATCAGCCATTTACGGTTAGAATAGTCTTACATCTGGTAAATAAACTTCTGGACAACTCAGATCCTACCGGTCTTCATGTATTCACTGATAGGTTCTATACTAGTTACACATTGGCTCAAGAACTTTTAAAATTAAATATTCACTTGACTGGAACCATTCCAACTAACAGGATAGGATTGCCTGATGCTATAAAAAAGAAAGCAACCCAAGATATGGAGAAGTACAGCGTAAGACAAGGAAAGACAATACGCTTGTCTTAGCGTGGCGGGACAAACGCATCGTCACGATGCTGTCAACATATTGTGACAACAAATCTGAACCTGTGGAGAGATTTGTAAAAAGTAGTGAGCCTGAAGTTGTTATGAAGCCTAGTGTTATTTGTATGTATAACAAGTTCATGGGGGGTGTGGACAATGCAGATAATTATATATCAAGCTATGGGTTCACGCGTAAGTTGCTAAAATGGTGGCACAAACTGTTTTTCTGGCTTCTGGAAACATCTATTGTTAATGCGTACATATTGTACACAATGCATGTTGACAAACCAGTGCGGCACAGAATATTTAGGAAAAACTTGGTTACTCAGTTAGTGGGGAATGTAAGGAACTCTCAAAACAGAAAACGGGGAAGACCATCATCCGGGGACGAAGAATTTAGAATGAACAACAAATTTCATGCCTTTTTTAGGTTGCCTGATGGAAAATTAAGAGAATACAGAGTATGCAGTGACAGAAAAGCAGGTGGATGGAAATAAACTGTTACATTTTGTAAAACTTAACCTAAACAGCCAGCCCTTCACATCGAGGAATGCTTTGAAAAGTACCACACTCTCAAAAAGTACAAATAAAATGTAAGTAAACCCAATTTTATTATGGTGTGGTTGACTTTTTCTTATCCTATACATGTCAAACAATAAAAAAAAAAATATATTTTTCAATTTAAAATTTTTTTTATTGTACATTTTTTTGCATTTTTTAGCTTTTTATATTTTATTTTTATATATTGATATATTTTATACATATATACACATAAAACATATATGCCTAAAATATATATTTTTAATTTGTAATACCTTCCTATACACATAAATAACAAAAAAAAAAAACAACATAGTTAAACATATTAAAAGTTTAAAATATTAAATAATGTTGTTTTATCATAGTTTGCTAATTTGCCCAGATTTAATTACGATATGACTAAGTTTGCTATTAAAATTAAACCAACCGCAAAGGGTTAAGTTGGAGACATCAAAATACAGAAAAGCCAAAGCTATAAACTCACAGAGGCAATGACAAAATTAGAATATAATTTAACAACTGTCTGAATTGCATATTCTATAAACGGTTAGTGATCATTACACTTTGACCTTTTTGTTACTCTGCTTTTAGTATTTTTCATAATTTTACAATATCTTTAAACTAGCAGCTAACACCCTAGTATATAAACTCACATCTCGTTCTATATTGAATAGTAAACAATTATATTTTAATTCAGGGGAAAAAATACAGAATGAGAATAAAATATTTTGTGTCATTGGATGAGACGAGATTAGTGCAATTGTCCATATAATTACTTGAGATGGAGATCTGCATTCCGAGAACGCCTCCTCAGGGGCCAAACTCCAGCCAACTCACCCCTGAGAAGACTTTAATATGTGGTGACAATTTTACTATTTTCTGCCTCCAAATGCAACGTCCTTACTCCAACCAATGGATCAGGGTACTATTGAAGCAATGATTATGACAGGCCTTGCCTACTGAATTGATAAAAGAGGAAGAAAGAAGCAACGAAACAGAAAGCATTATGGGCACTGAAGAAAATGAAAATGGTTATCCATGAGTCTGCTACCAATAGGAGGATGTGTACAAAAGAATTGAGAAATTCTTGGAAAAGGTTATGGCCAGAAGTACCAAAGGTGGTAGAAGAGGATGAAGTAGACTTCCCATCTATAGACCAGCTGTAGCCATTTTTTATCAAAAAAGAATATAGTTGTGTGAGCCAGTCACAGAATGTGCTAGTGTATAAAATTCTGTTTTATACATTATTTTTTGTTGCTGCAGGTTGATTGGTCATAACAGTTGCTATCACTCATTAGATAAGTCATTCCCTAAGTTTGACTTGGTAAAACAGTTTGTTTATTTGACAGAATTTAGTAATTTAGATCAGCACAATTTGTAGGTGGCTCACACCAACTACAACAATTTTGATAAAAAATCCAGCAACAAATTTAACATGGAGATGGAATGTCTTGTTGTATTAACACGTAGAGTGCGGCCGTTCCCGATCGGGTACGGCGCTTGGCCCCCGTACGGTGCGTCCGTACCCCATCGGGAACGCTCGGTAATGCCTTTTGTATATCTTTGTTTTTGCTCTAGCGTCGGCCGAAAGCGGACCTATACGACGTTAGCGTGTAGTATGTGACTTGCATTTTGTTGTGGTGTAGGTTGGTAGTAAATTTCCCCGTAAAATTCCCGTCTGGCAATCTCAAAAGTCTTCTTTTTGTCCCGTCTTTTTCCCTCCATTTGGCAATACAATTCCAATGGGACCGGCTACGTTCCAAGCAGTGCTGCTATCTGTGGGTGTTTAGCGAACTACATCGACTCTCGTTGTAAAGCAGGACATCCCCTCACGTTATTTGCTATTCGTCAGACCAAAATTGAAAAGGCCAATCACACGCGGCAATCGGGTTTACTCGACGCTGAGGGCTGCGCCGCACTGGGGATACGCCCGCTATTTGACGTGCCGCAGCGAACGTGTTAATAGTCAAACCTACCGGCCATCTTGTATTCATTTCAATCAGCAGCTGAAGGGTTATTTATCATCCAAATATTGTTTTTCAAATTACAAAGTGATTGTAATGTAAATATCTAGGGCACTGTGGGATTAGAAATGTTCCTCGTAGTATTCAACAATACAGAACGAAAAAGTTGTTTTAAAAAGACTTCTAAACCACTGCACAAATCACAACCTACTAAACAACCTGCAACATGGATTTACAAAAGGGAAATCCACAACAACAGCAATAATTCAGATGGTTGAGTCCCTGATTGACAGCCTAGATGAAGGAAATCTAACAACAGGAATCTTTCTTGATTTCAGTAAGGCATTTGACTGCCTTGACCACCAGCTAATCATTAAAAAGCTGGATTCCCTGGGGGTATCAGGGATAGTAAGAGAATGGTTTCAAAGCTACCTTACAGACAGGAGTCAGTTTGTAGAACTAAGGCACAGAGATAACAGCCTAATAAGAAAAACAAGATCAAATTTTCAACCAATAAATCGAGGAGTTCCCCAAGGGTCAGTTATGGGTCCGGTACTGTTTATTCTTTTTACCAACGATTTGCCGCGACAAATAGGAGACGCCTGCCTTACTCTTATGTATGCTGATGACACAACCTTAGTGTTTAATGAACCACTAGCTGAAAATCTAGAAGTAAAATCCTATGTGTCACTCAGTATGGCCTACCAATACTGCTATAACAATGATCTCGCAGTAAACACGTCTAAAACAACTCAAATAGCTTTTGGCCGTAAATCTCAAGAAGTGCCACGACTCCCAGATGTAGAAGTGGAAGATGAAGCTAAGTTTTTGGGCATCACACTCGACAAGAATTTAACCTGGACCCCTCATGTGGACAATATATGTAAAAAATTAAGTTCAACCATCTATGCTCTTAAACATATAAAAAATGCAACAGATGACATGACAACAAAAGTAGCATACTTTGAACTTTTCGAGTCGCATATGAGATATGGACTTGTAGCATGGGGTGGAACCTCTGCCACTAACATGCAAAGAGTTCTCAGAAAACAAAAAAAGGCAGTCAGAATAACTGCAGGACTCCACAGACTCGACAGCTGCAGAGAAGCATTCAGGTCACTCAAAGTACTTACCCTTGTAGCACTCTACATCCAGGAAGTTGTGTTATTTGCAGTAAGAAATAACTCTACAAGGCGTGGCGAAATGCACCAACACAACCTGAGAAACACCATGCAGTACAACCTTCCACAACATCGCACGGCACAGTTTGAAAAGAAACCTTCATACGCAGGAATGAAAATCTACAACAGGCTACCTCCAGATCTAAGAAGCAAGTCAGAAGATGACCTCAAACCAGCTTTGCATCAATGGCTCATTAATCAACCTTTCTATTCCTTAGAAGAATACCATAAACAGGTCTTTGACTAAACAACACCTCAACCACACATTTAGAAAAAATTGTAAATTGACGCTACTACTATTCTTAATGAATGTGTAAATAAAGATTAATTGTCTATTGTCTATTCTAATAGTTTTACGAGTTAGAACACCTAGGCTCTAAGTACTCTTAAATGGCTTTCTTGACAATGTAGTTTTGTTCTATCTTGTATTTATTTCTACATTGCCTTATTATGTAAAGCAGTAAAAAAATCTATACAGTAAATTGTGTACATTGTTTGAATACATTGCGTGTTTTTAGTTTGCACCTTAACTTGTTAAAAGTAAAATTTTAACCTAAACAAAAACTATAATTAAAGCAAAATTTACATATTTAAAGAATTAATAAAAAAAGAATGCCTTTACAAAGGAAACACAACAACAAGGAGCTCCTATATCGCGGGTATTGCAGAGACTTTCTGAAGGCATTTTAACTGCTTGTGTATTCTCAAAAACAATAACAAAGGTTTATCCGTAATGACCCTGGTCCTATCTATCCCGGATAAACGAGGGTTTTGTATACTTACTGTATTTGGAATAAAGGTAAAACATGAGACAAAATAATGCAATACAAATTTATTTTAATACAAACTGTGATAAATAAAAGAACAAACAATAGTAGTATACATTGTAGCTTAAGCAGATCGAGCTTTGTTGAAGTGTCTGTTCAAGTACATGATCTGAGCCTCTCGCTCTAGCTGAGCCAACTCCAAGACTGTAGGGGCCATCTGACTGACATGACTCTCATAACCAGTTCCTGCAACATGTATTGTGTAGGATTAATGCACAATTTTAAATTGATACAATATAAATGCAGCTGAGAGTGGTTTATCCTAAATAATTTGAGATTAGAGGTATTCAGATGATTATTTTTGGACGGTTCAGTAAGAGGGGTAATACGATTTAGTAATATGAAATTTGGAAAGAGACGAGCTAAACTGACAGAGGATGAATTAGAAAAGAAAAGGCATTATGACAGGGATAGGTATAAAAAAAAGATAAGAAAAGAAGATTAAGTCGATTTAAGACATGTCAGAGAGGGAGAAAAGGAAGACTCGGAAGCGTTGGAGGGAGCAATATAGGAGGGAAAAAGAAAAAAAAGCTTTGCTGATTCAAGTAACAAACAATACGCCACCAATTTCTCCTAACAGTAACAGCAATCACTAACCAATCATGAAGAGCAAGAGTCTATTCAGAAAAAAAGAGGGAGAAAAGCTGTTAGGAAGGATAGGAGTGCGGCATACCGCACTATTGCCAAACAAAATAAACTAATTGATGAATTGGACAAGCGCTTGAAAAAATATAATAAGAAAAGGCAGGAGAGGGAGAAATAAGCCACCAAAATATCATCCCCATCCCCAAAAAACCTAGTTTAAAAAATTGTGGGAAAGGAACGAGTCTCTCCCAACATTAAAAAACAGCTTTTCTTGGGCCTTAGCTTGAAGAAGCAACTAGAAAAAAAGCTAAGGAAATCAGTGGAAAGAAAAAAAGAGGTGCAGATATTTAGAAAAATTGTTGGGTGTGACATACTTAAAAAATACAGAGTGCAAAGTCACTTCAAAAAGATTGTTCCCTTCAAAAGCAACAAAATTGTAAATGATGACCCTTCCCTATATAGTAGGAAGAAAAAGAAATCCATTAGGGGCATTCTTTCAGAAGAGGGGGTTTTTTTTAGGATGACCCTGTAAGTAGAGTCTGCCCTGGCAAGAAGGATGTTGTAAAAAAAGAAGGAAACAACGTCGTGTCTTGTTGGATACTTTGCAAAATTTGCATTGTAAATTTAAGGAGTTTCAAAGAGAATTATCTTTGGCAACATTCCGACGATCCAGGCCCTTATGGGTTACATTTCTCAAAAACAGTGATAGGCAAACATGCGCCTGCGTAAAGCACGAAAACTTTGCATTAATGAATCCATGCCCTACGGTCGTCAAGGCAATAAAAGCAAATAACATAACCGAAGTAATGCGCACACTTGTATGTTCTGATAAAAGAAAAAGTTGTATGTTTGGCGAGACAAACAAGATAACAAGACAACCAGATAGAGTTTTCTTATGACCATAACTTCATGGTCAAGTACTGCAAATGGATGAACGTCCAAGAAGAAGAAAAGATTAAAAATAAAACAAAAGTTCTAAAGAAGACAGTAAAAGTAAAATTGGTAACACAAACTAATTAAAATGTTTAAAAGAGAAGTCCCTGCATTTAAAAAGCATCTGTATTGTCACCTACATCAAAACTCCAAACTGAAGACTGTTTTAAAAAATCAAAAAGAAAACGAAACAGTCTTTAGAATTCAATTTGCAGAGAACTACGTGGCAAAATATAGTAAAGAAATCCAGAGTGTTCATTTTGGCGCCTCTAAGCATCAAATAAGTCTGCACACTGGAGTCAGATATTCAAACAATGAAAACCAGCCAATAACAACCTGCTTTACAACAGTAAGCAACAATCTTGACCATCAATCACATGCCGTATGGGCCCATCTACAGCCGATTCTCAAACAAACAGCCGTCCAATTTCCTGACACCGACACAATTCATTTTTTTCATACTCCCCATCGAGCCAATACAGAAATAGGAATAATATATATCTTTTTTTTTAAACTGTGATCCCAACAATGTTTCCAAACTTGAATGTGCCTTTTATAAAGTTGATATTCTTTTGAAAGAAGTAAGTTCAAATGCAATAGAGAAGAGGACGAAAGAATTAGGATATGCAGTTATTCCGACAATCGAGGAGATTCTTCAAAGCCGTCAAATAACGTACTTCACAGGGGGAAAATGTACGCAAATTCTCTCTCCTGCTTTAAATGTCCATTGACGAAGCCTTGCACTTGATCGAAAAGCTTGTCACGCTAACTGAGGGATACGAACCAGAAAATATTTACAATGCAGACAAGACGGGACTGTTTTTCAAGATTTTACAGGACAAAACCTTGTCATTTAAGGGTGATAAATGATAAATTACTGTAATGTTGTGGGAAAACTGCACGGGGAGTCACAAATTAAAGCCTCTTATGATTGGGAAATCAAGAAACCCACGTTGTTTTAAACATTTTTAATGACCTACCTACGCAGTACATGACCAACCCAAAGGATATTTTGAACTGTGACGCTTTTACGAAATGGCGAAGTGTCAACGAAGACATGAAAAAGAAAAAGAATAAAATTCTCATGTTTATTGATAACTGCACTGCTCATGACATTCCTAACCTCAGTAACATTAAAATCGAGTTTTCTTCCTCCCAACACAACAACGAAACTGCAAACAATCGACCAGGGCATTATTCAATGTTTTAAAGTGAATTACAGAAAAGAGGTTGTGCAACAGTTCCTTAGAGACATGGAAAGTCCACTACCAACTTACATCAACATCTTAAATGCCAACAAGAGCCTGGAGCGAGGTCTTGGAGAGCACAATTTCTACGTGCTTTAGGAAGAGTGGATTAGCCGTTCCGAAATCGGAAGAATTTACAGAACAGCCCACTATTTAAGTCATCGATGCTATTGAGAGTTGGGGGAAAATAGAGTTTGCAGCTGCAGAGTTTGGAGACTTTGTTATTTTTGCTGACAACTAAGCCGTGCATGGTGAGCTAACCAACGCTGAAATCATCTCCTCTGTGAAATCAGACGAGAATGCAGATGTGGTGGAAGATAACAACAAAGAGGAACAATCTGAGTTGTCTGACTTAAATACAAAAGAAGCTCAGCAAGCTCCAAGTTTGCTAAAACACCTTTTTCTCTAAAAGAGTGGTTTGACTGACGAAATCTATCACCGACCTGGACACGTTAAACATAACTGTACTCAAGCAAATAAAAATAAATGACTTATTTATTAGTAATCAGAGTGGAAGTGGCCAGTTAACTGACAATGCCAACTAAATCCTAAATTCAGATTTCAAATGGTTAGGCTTATTAAAATAAAAATACAGTACTATACAAATGTTGGTTTTCTTTTAAATTCCTGTGCTTGTATTTTTTGTTGTTGTTTATATGTTACTGAAGGCTATTGTGAGTATTTTTTTAAATAACTTCTTGATACTTGTTTTTTTTTTTTTTTGTAATAAGTCTATAAATACCTGTATTTTATTTCTGTTAAATTCAAAATATTTTCATCTTATTTAAATACTGTATGATAATTATCAAAAATGCACATACACTCAACTCCCAATTATTTGGGATAAACTAAAGTTGAGGCTTCCTGGAAACGTAAATTTGCGGTTAATTTGCATAATACAGTACAATCACAATGGAATCACAATGTTTACACACATATATTTAAATACAATGACTCAAACATAATAAATTATACAATAAAATATGTAGGCTATGGTCTTAAGGATAAAATAAAATACAGTATTGACAAGACAAAAACTGCATCAATTATTTTCTTTGTAAATAATCTGTAATGGTTTTCTGTTTTTTAATTGAGAATCGTCTCTATCTGACCGTCCACTCCTATTCGAATATTCAAAGTACAACTGGTACAAAGTACTTGGACTTCAATATATGGGTAATTGTGCAGGTGCTTTTATATTCATAATATGACCAGACCAAACACATAATTACAATTGGAAATCTGCTAAAGATCGTTAAAATCCTTTCGTATTTGGTTACAAAACAAGGCACAAACCTGCATTCTTCTTTTTCTCTCCGTAAGTGACTTTTCCATCAAATTCATTCATCGGTATGTTTATGTCAGCCCCAACTTGCTGAATTGTCACATTTAGATGGTCCTCAATATCAGCGAGATACTGAAACAAAATCATTAAAATCATGTAGAGGTAATATTTTGAATTAGCCGTGGTGTTTGTCTACCTATCTTTTATCCTGGGGAAATGAAAAACTACTAATCAGAATACAGTAATCTGTAAAGGTGGTTATGAATCATCTTAACACATTTGTGTCCTTAACCCTGGAACTGCCTAAGTAAATATGTGTAAAAAATATCATAGACCTTTCAAACAAAGTGTGCTAAGGACACACAGCAAAGAGTATGTCAACTATAGAGCTGCAAATAGGGCCAGTTCTGTTTGGGCTGTTTATATTGACTACCCGGAACACCTTGAGGAATACATCAAGATGGTCATGTATGCAGACGACACTGTGCTGCTTACAGCAAACAGAAACATAGATCATCTAGAAGTAAACACCTATATAGCTTTCACCATGACACAGGACTATTGTATGAAAACTGACTTAGTCCTCAATGAAAGTAAGGCCAAGCAAATTACTTTTGGAAATAAAGTCTTCAGTATCTGAAATGCCCAAGCTGACAGCAGCTGAAGAAATCAAACATCTAGGTGTCATAATTGATGAAAACTTATCCTGGGATTGTCATGTAGCTTGTCTTAGCCAAAAACTCGGGCCAGCTCGCTTTGCCATAAAACGAATCAAAGAGACTAGTATCCCTGAGGCAACGAGGACTGCATACCATACATTTTTTGAAAGCCATGTATGCTATGGTATTACTGTCTGGGGTGGATCCACTATGGACAATCTTAACCGGGTCCTGGTTATGCAGAAAAGGGCTATCAGAATAATAGCAGACATAAGTAAAGAAAAAGCTGTAGAGATGCTTTCAAAAGCCTGAACATCCTGATGGTGACTTCCATCTACATCCTAGATACTGTTTATTACTGTGTAACCAAAGACCCGCTTAAACAAAGAGATATACCGGTACATGAATACAACACCAGATATGCAGGAAACTATGTGCTCCCTGGCCACAGAACAGCAATGTTTGAAAAGAAACCACTGAGATGGCTGCTATACAAAGCTTTCTACACCCTAAAGTAATTCTTTGAATGGCAAGACCACACACAACACTGAAGAAGCTATTCCATTTCACTTTGTATCTATTATAGCAATGTTATTTATTTAAATTTGACGCTGTAACATTTCTTGATGAAATTGTAATAAAAGATATTGTCTATTGTCTATTCACCAATAACAACAGTAAGCGGCAAGTAGCCTCAAACCAACGTACCCGCAACTTACGGAGATAAAAAAAAAAGATACATACAAAAACGACTATTTCTTAAAAACAACTCTCTACAGCATATCAAAATCCAATGCAATAATCAATTTAGGTACCTCCTCGACCGTGAATGAATATTGAATCTAGAGGTTAAACTAAAAAAAGTTGGGGCGGACCAATTATAATTTTTGATTCATCAACATTTTTAACCCTGGTAAAATCAAAGAATGACCAATTCTATATACTTTGTGATTCTGGGTACAATACCAATTCTGGAATCTACTAGAGTTGTGGCAGCATCAAGGTAATCTCCCACAATGGTACCCAAAGTTTCCGCATGACATCTACTCACCTGCATCTCGTTGTACCAGATACAGCAGCCGCCTTGGTCAGTCAGTCTGGTGTTCCAGCAGTTTCTTCCTCGGGATGAACACCACTCTCCGTGGAACCACACCTTCTCTGGCACAGCAGACACCAGGGAGATGGCTAGACCCATCCTCTCAGCTCGACCCACACGTCCGATACGATGGACGTAGTTGCTCTTCTCATCAGGCAGTGTCACGTTGATCACTGTTTAACAATTTGGTATAAGTAATTTACACGTGACACTGTTAATACACTAGTCCCTCAATAATTCGGCCTTTGATACAGTAACAAATTCTCCAATAATCCAGCTAAATCTAAAAAAAATCATAGCTTATAATATTATTAGTGTGTATTAAACGACACATGAAAGTACAGTAAGGTAAATCACCGAAATTCAACAGCTACCACAATATTGACACTTTCACTCTTTACTGTAAGTGGAAATATGCGGTAGATCTAATTTTCGTCGTCTTTGACTTGAACACGCCGAGTGTTTTTTTCTTTCAAGCCAATCGGTGATCTGCCCGGCGATTTTAGTTCGAAAGTTACACACAGTTATCTGGATGCAGTACGCTGAGGGTTGACATCAGGTAAGAATATTACTGTCTTTTGCTAAAAAGCTGACAACTATTTTCCATGTAATTATTATATGTTAGTGTTTATATTACTTGAAGTGTTGATTTTCTACTAATATATGATGTCTGAGATTTTAAAAATATGCATGAATCCACATTTAAACAAGTTTTTAAAAAAATATGTTTTAATTTTGGCGTTTATCATAATATCAACATTAGGTGTCGATAATACATTTAGCACTTTTAGCATGGAACATATTTTCAACACATGAATAAAAACGTATTAAACCCTGATGTATTTCATCGAATTTCACCGGTATTTATGTTATTATCAACTTTTTTAAGTTTATAACTTTGTTTCGATGTTTCTAATCTAAACATTGTGTTTTGTGTGTACATTTTAGTTTTATTTTGTGTTTTTATCACTAAAAATGGATCCCTCAATACCTGGAACATCGAGAGATGGCGTCGAGCCACAATATAACGAAAATCTGGAGGATATCGATGCAAATGACCCTATTCAGCGTGTAATGGATGGAGATGTATCCGATGATGAAAATCTTGGAGATCATGATTCCGAAGAGTATGACAGTGGTGAGGACGATCCAGATATATACACCACAGCTCCTGAATGGACGATACAGACAACAGGCTTGAGACCCATTGAATTTACCAGGACTGATACTCTACTGGTGCCAATTCCCGGGCAAGGGACCCCGATTGACTGGTTCAACCTTTTGTTTGACGAAGTTTTGCTAGAACAAATCTGCACAACCAGTAACAAGTATGCTTTCAAAGTATTTTCCAAACCTAGTTTAACTCCTAACTCCAGAATTTGTAAATGGAAGGACTTGCATGTACCTGAACTCAAAATATTTATCGGGTTAATCCTACATATGGGTACAGTTAGGCTAAACAGACTCCAAGATTACTGGAAAACGGATCCACTTTTTGACTTTAAATTGTTTAGACGAAGTATGTCTAGGGATCGATTTTTGAACATTCTCCGTGTCCTTCATTTCTATGATGAAAAAAATGAAATTGACAAGAAAGAATCCCTTGGAAAAATCACACCAATTGTTGAATATTTCAATAATAAAATGATCCAGATATATTACCCTCAAAAAGAACTGTCTATTGATGAGGCAATGGTGTTATGGCGAGGTAGATTATATTTCTGTCTATAAAAGGAAAAAGGCATAAATATGGAGTAAAATTGTACTCCCTTTGTGAACACCAAGGATTGATTTTGAAATTTCTGGTTTACGGAGGCTCGTCAGATGAGATAGTAGGCGGAACTGGCCATACAGACAAAGTAGTCATGTATTTACTGAAAGAAAAGCTGGGAAATGGTCACGCTGTTTACATGGACAACTTTTATAATTCATATGGCTTGTCATCCAGACTTTTGGCCAACAAAACCTATTCCACTGGAACCCTCAGACAAAACCGTAAGATTGTGCCGATAGAAGTAAAGGAAAAGACTTTGAAGAAAGGAGAAACGATTGCTCGCTATGGTAATAGCATAATGATAGGAAAGTGGAGGGATAAGCGTACAGTATTGTACATATCTACTGAACATGAAAATGAAATGGTAGAATTTGAAAATAAGAGAAGGCAAACTAAAATAAAACCACTTCCGATCATCAAGTACAATGCTTTTATGAGGGGTGTTGACAGGGCAGATCAGATGATGAGCTATTATCCCTGCGAACACAAAACAGTCCGATGGTACAAAAAAATATTTGTACACATTTTACAGATGCTGCTTCTCAATTCACATGCGCTCTACAACATGTACAATGCAAAAGTTACATTTTATGACTACCGACTCCATGTAATAAGGGCTCTCCTGCCAGCACATATGCCAGAACCCCTTGAAACCCCTAGACAAAAGCGTGCACGGGAGGCTGCTCACAAGATTGCAAAGAGTGAAGAACGTGATAGCAGTAACCGCGTGAAAAGGAAAAACTGCCGTATTTGCTGGAAAAACACGGGGAAAAAAGTTAAAACTGCATATTATTGCGAGACCTGCCCCGACAACCCTGGCTTATGCATGGGCCAGTGTTTCGAGTCATATCATGACTCACTATAAACTTTTACATGCATCACAGGACTGTATATAGTGTAAATAGTGAAATATATAGTGTATAATAATCTCACGTCGTCAGACTTTTGATTGTGGAGCGAGCGCGGCTGAGGACCATGCCGGCGCCAGGCCGGCGCGGCGACAATACAATTAGACTTTCCATGCGTAATGCGGCGGGTCCACCGGTGACTGATGACCACCAACGCTCCAAAACTAACGGTAAGAGTCTTGAATATGCATTATGACAAATATTCCCAGCTTTATAGCATATAAAGGTAACCTTTTATGAAATAAAAAATTTTAGTCATAGGTCAGCGCTTAATATAAGTTTTTAGCAGCGAATGTGTTAATATCGACAGCGGGTGTTGAAACAATTTTAAATTAAAATAGAACTTGACATCCCATTCAACAATTATTTCATGTTATTTTGCTACCTATTTGATCTAAATTTATTGTTTTTGATTACTACTAGCTAATATTAATAGTTCATAAATTTATTGATGATTAAAAATTACAAATCTGGCCACCTGTAAGCCTATCTAGATGATTTGAACTACAAAATTGTGTTTGTTCAAATATAACTGTTAACTCATTTAAGTTAACTGATACCTATGAAAAATCGTTTGTGAAAATAATCTTGATTTACATAGTTTATTGTAAGCGCTTGTTTTAGTAGGCCTAACGAATTTTGTGAAATATAACTTGTTTTCCAGAATGCCGCCAGTCAAACCCAGAGAACTTGCAGTGAAGAGGAAGAAATACTCTGATGATGATATGAACAAAGCAATTTTAGCCTTTTGAAACTGATCTTCGATTGCTGCGGCTGCTAGGGAACATGGGGTTCCCAGGGTCACGCTCATGGACAAGCTCTCTGGCAGAACTACTGAGTACAAGCTGGGGAGGAAACCTGTCCTTGGAGAAGAGGAGGAACACGTCCTGGTTCAATGGATCTTAAAATGTAAATCAGCTGGATTCCCAATCTCTACAGGTCAGCTGATTTAAAGTACCCAGCAAATGCTAAAGAAGTTGGGAAAGGAGGACATCTTCCAAAAGGGTGCGCCAACAAAAAGATGGGTGGAGGAATTACTAAAACGAGACCCAGAGCTTTCTCTGAGAGAGTGTCAAAACCTGACAACCACTAGGGCCAATGTAAGCCTGGAAAACATAGAACAGTGGTTTGACGAAGTCAAAATGTACCTCCAAAATAACGGTCTTTTGGATGTCTTGAAGGACTCCTCCAGAGTCTTCAATTGTGATGAAACGGCCTTTTTCCTTTGTCCAGACAAAGGGAAGGTCATTGTTGGACGGGGAACAAGACCGTTTAAAGAGTCAGTGGGAATTACAAAGAAAATGTCACTGTTATCTTAAAAGTATCTGCTGACGGGAAAATTACCCCTTCCATCATGGTCCCCTATGATCGATGGCCGCCCAAAGTCATCGCCAGCATTCCCGACGATTGGGGCGCAGGTAAAACAGAAAATGGCTGGATTACTAGCCAGTCATTTTATGAATATATTGGCAATGTTTTTGAACCTTACATCACAAGAGAAAGGATTAAAAGGCCTGTCATCCTTTTCATGGACGGCCATACATCATATATGAGTTTCGAGGTGAGTGAGCTGTGCTCACAAAAGGACATCATCTTGATTGCCCTATACCCGAACGCCACCCACATTCTGCAACCACTTGACGTGGCAGTGTTTCATCCGTTGAAGGCAGGGTGGTGGTGGGCAGTGACACAGTGGCGCTTCGACAATAATGGAAGGAAGCTGAAGAATGAAGAGTTCGCACCTCTGGTAAAAAAAGTATTAGATGGTGACGCCGTGAAGCCCGAAACAATCAAAAGTGGCTTTAAATCCTTCGGGCTTTTGTCTCTTGATGCCAAAGAAGCCAACATAACAAAGATTCTTGGCCGACCCTCTAAAAAGAATCCTGCTTTAACCAACGCCAACATATGTGCACTTCAACGCTATTTGTACTTTCTGGAAAGCTGAATTGACACAGAGAAATCAAACACTTACTGGAATGACAAAATTGCAGTTGAAGACAAGTCCCTTTTTGAAGTATGGAAGGGGTTAAAAGAAGAAATTAAAAACCTGAAGAGTGGAAATACAATTCAGTCCCAGACAGAAGACCATCATGAAAACATTCCAGCTGTCGACCCTCCTCCACCCTCTGTTGTGATAGAAGCAGAAGAGATCGTCATAAATGAACAAGTAGTTTTCTCCAATGAAGAGGCTTTTCTGGATGATGAGGCAATTATCCGTACGATTCCTCCTGACTCCCATACTTACCCTTCATTCAATACCTCAGATATTAACATCGATCAGGAGTTTGACAATAACCGACCAATCTGTTCATGGGACACCCCTTTCTTAATTGGGCAAGAAGAAGAGATACAAACGCTTTCAGCTGTTGACCAATGCGAATTCCAACACAACCTTCCCTCTTCTACACCTCCTCAAACATTTGGCTCTGAAACTCCCAGTCGAGGAATTCATCTGGGATACACACCAGAAATTTTAATAGCGTCTGTAACAATGCCAACAACCACTACTTCTACTACAACCCAACACTTCCTACAACAACGGAGCCGCCAACAACCACAACTCCAACACCACCAACAACCAAACCACCATCAACCGTTTCAAATACATCCAACGCTCCTAATGACATCCCGTCCCCATTTAAAGACTGCCTTTTGTGGCCTGAAAAAGAAGCCAAGTCAAACTGTAAAAGAAAAAAAGTCAAGACACCTTCAGTTGTAACATCGAAGCTGTGGAAGGACTATCGTAAAAAGATAGTAGAGGAAAAGTCACAAAAAGAACAAGCAGCTGCTGAAAGAAAATTAGTAAGGGAAGAGAAGATGAACATTAAGAAGGAAAAAGATGAAAATAAAGCCAAAATAAAAATCCAATCAGTTTGTAAAAATGTGACTAAAAACCCAAAGAAATGGAGACTGACAGCGAAGAAGAGATCGAAGAAAGTGGAGGTAACTTCAATATAGAAGAATGCTGCTCAGCCCCAAGTATTCCTGAAACCTTCAAAATTGGTCTTTGGGTTGTAGTCCCATATCCGAAAAAAATGGAGTCAGTGAAAAGTATATGGGCCAAATATTGTCCTTACACGATGACCGGACAGCGGTGGTGAAATTTGTTACCAAGAAGGGTAACAAATTTGTGTGGCCTACACATGATGATATAGACACGGTGCCCCTTAAAGATATCATCACTACACTCAATGAACCTTCTTTCGATAGGAGAGGTTATCTTACCTTTGTAAATCCTTGTAAATGTTCCTAAACTCGTCAGTCTTCTTTAAAGATTACACATTTCTTGTTGTTTATTAATTGTTGGTACGGATATATGCTTATGCCAAATGTAGGCTACTTTTTTTACTTTAATCTTACCTTTGTAAATAACTTGTTACCTTTGTAAATCTTGCGTTACCTTTGTTACACTTGTTACTTAGTACTTATCAATGTTCCTAAATTTACTAGTCTTCTATTTAACATTTTATGTTGTAAATAAATCGGTTGTCTATAGGCTCATGTCACACATTACTCGGTGCTGTAGTCAATGACATTCTTCACTTTCAGCTGCTGTGTCTTGATACTCTATCGATATGCTGCAGAAATCCATTACCTTACAGACGTGAAGTAAAGACGACTTTCCAGATCCAGAGGACCAATTTATGGTCTTTACTAGGGATGGACGAGATTGGATTTTTAGTTCGAGACGAGACGAGACGAGATTTTTTATTTCTCATAAAATTTCAAGACGAGATCGAGACGGGATTTCCCTTCTCATACACAACGGGAAATGCACGTTCAAAATTTTTACCTGATTTTGTAACATTGTTAGATGACTGTTTAAATACATAAATAATGATAATAGGCAAGAATATTTACAATCTTTTAATAAAAAACATCAGCATAACATTTTTTTATTAATCACGCCTAACTTATTAAAAATGCCTACGATTAGGAAACATAGTGATATCAGTTAGGATAGAGTTCAACTTATCCTAAAATAAAATAAATCATAAAATAAAAGCAATATTAATTTTTATAAAATAGTTACTTGTTTTGACTTTTTATAATAATAAAACATTCCTCACACTGCTTACACTTAACAAAACTTCTCAAATGTTATTAAAGTAATACTGTATTATTAAAATAATTAAAGTAATATTTACATTTAAAGAATTAATTAAATAAGAACGCCTTCGCAAAGGAAACGCAACTACAACACGCTCCTGTATTGCGGGTATTGCATTGACTTTCTGCAGGCGTTTTTAATTTTTTTTTTTTTTTTTTTTTTTTTTTTATTCTCGTCTTGATAATAATCTCGGCCAAAAAGAAATCTCGTCTCGTGTAACGAGATTGAAAATTTCCCGAAAATTTCCCGAAATTACGAGACTTGACCATCCCTAGTCTTTACATTTCATTTCTGACAAATCTTTCATGGCGTCAACAATAATCAATAGAACAAATTGCTTACGGAAACAGTACTTTTATAAGCTTCTTACAATCTTTAAAGCTATTGTTTATTTTTACTAAGCTTTCTAATAAGTTATTCTGCAATGGACATGTGTTCATTAAAACCCAATAATAACACAAATTATTTTTTTTTTATTAATTGAATGTCCAATAACAGCTGCCTGTCGATAATAAGATCTTAAGTGTCGATAATAAATTTTAAGCTGTCGGAATTAAGGTTAGTGTTGTTTGAAGACCATCCTAGTCTAGATTAGCTATAACATTATTATTTGTAATTCTAAAAACGTATTTATTGGCTCAAAGTGAAGACAATTCATCACAGAATTTGCCAAGATAAGAACATCGGATGTATTTCAATTTACTGTATATTATAAAAAAATGAATGTATAATTGAGATTGTGTCTTAAACTGTTGATATTCGGTGGTTTACCTTATATAGAACAATTCAGCAATATAGACAACAATTCAACAAACCAACTGCAATATAGAACAATTCTATATTGCACTGCACTATATGGTACTGCACTTGAACATAAAATGACATATATCTCATTGTTTACTGTACGTATTATACACTGAACTGTACTGTTACTACGGTACTGGAATGTGGTGATGAATCAGGATAAATTAATATTTTCTGGCTTTAGTTCCTTGATTATTATACTACTGAAGGATCCAATACCCTATAAAAGTTAGTAAGAAAGCTAAATCAAATCGAAGAAGAAATTGTCAAGGGAATACAATGGCAGAGGTTACATTATTTTCATTGTTTTCGTCATTATTTATTACATTGTTTTTGTCGGTAGGCCTACTCGTTTTTATTTGTAAAACATCCACGTTTGTACATAATATGTTTCCGTGTTTTGTATGTAAACTCTTGACGACCTTTTCGAAGTGACAGTGTTTTAATGTTCTTGTACAAGATTTGATCATGAAGACTTAGTCTTCGAAACACGTTATCCGTAAGGAACAAACAGGATCACTCTGGCAGTACTCAGGTAATTTTATACCTTTTATAGTTACAGTATTGTTGGTAAACTTACTGAAGGGCAAACCAGAGATGTCCAAGCCTCTAGCAGCGACATCCGTACAGATCAGGAACTTAACCTCTTGTTTCTTGAACTTCTCCAAGTTAGCTTTGCGTTCTGGAGGCTTGCGGTCCCCATGGAGACAAACACAGGAGTACGGGTTGTTGGCTCCACCTATAGAATCATCATCATATCATATCAACTGCAAGTACAAATTAACTATAGTCTAGAAGTTATAGGGCTTGGTCTTAAAATCTATAGGTCGCCGAGATTGTATCTCGACCGTCATTTTGCCAAATACCGACGCGGCGCTGTCGGTATTAATTCCAATACGTTTGTACGCAAAATAAAACCGACACTTGTTTGAAAACAAGTACAAACTGTCATAATATAATTCTGTTACTACTAATAATAAAACAAATCTTTATTTATTACACGTTTTAATATCATAGATACCAAAGTAGCCTCTTTATTACTTGAAGTTGTTGACATAATTATTAAATATTTTTATTGCCGTTGTTTTTTTAACTGTGGTAAAGAAATACAAACTGCTATAACTTACATTTTAAAGTTGACAATGAAAACAAACATATACCGGGTGTCCCACGAAGGGGTTTAAACGTTTGATTTTATATTACGTGCCCATTCATGCACCGAACCTTTTTAAACTTTACACAGTTTACAAAGTAGGTTCTAAAAATATTCTGGAAAAATTTAAACTCCCTAACCTTAGTAGAAACAAAATGGTGGCTTATTGACAAATTTACCAATGTGCTTTCTATAAAAACTACTTTCATGATTTATTATTAGTTATTTATTTATTATTATTATTTATTTGTTATTTGATTAATTTTTAGTTTTCCATTTGGCTATGTTCTAATTTTTTCTCGTTTTAAAGTCATATTGCCCTGGAAAGTAACAATAAAAATATTTTATAAAACCAAAAATACCTTTTTTAATGTTTTAAAGTAACTTTTTCAATATGCCGCCATTTTGTTTCTACTAAGGTTAGGGAGTTGAAATTTTTCCAGAATATTTTTAAAACCTACCTTGTAAACTGTGTAAAGTTTCAAAAAGTTCGGTGCATGAATGGGCGTGTAATATAAAATCAAACGTTTAAACCCCTTCGTGGGACACCCTATATATGTATAATAATATAAACACCAATCCTGCGTTTTGAATTTTTTTTTAGAATGCCTGCAACAAAAACACCCCCACCAAAGAAACGGAACCAGTATTTCAACGAAGATATGAAAGGGGCTGTTCTGGCGGTTAGGAGCGGTACCGACACTGTGTTATCCGCGGCAAAACAATTTGGGGTACCTAGGGTAACGCTCCACGACAAAGTGTCTGGGCGATACGACGAAAACTGCAAATTGGGTAGGAAGCCCATTCTCTCTCAGGGCGAAGAAGACATCCTGAAATGGGTTTTGGCATGTAAGATGAGAGGTTTCCCCATTACTAAGGATCAACTTATCCATAGTGCTGGGCGGATGCTCACCAGCACGGGTAGGCCAAACCTATTCGTGAACGATAAACCTGGCCGACGATGGTATAAACTCTTTATGGGCCGCCACAAAAACCTTGCCGTCCAGGAGTGCCAGACCCTAACAATTTCACTTGCTGCCATCACTGAGGAGAGGGTCGCGGAGTAGGGTTGCGGAGTAGGGTCGCGGAGTAGTGTGCAGAAGTGAAAAAGTATGAAGAGGAAAAGCAGTTGATGAGTGTGTTCGAGGATCCGCGGCGAATTTTCAACTGTGATGAGACAGCCTTCTTTCTGGCTCCCAAAACAGGGAAGGTTATTGCCGCAAGAGGAGACAGAAGTGTTTATAATGTGGCAGGTAACACGGACAAGGAAAATATTACAGTGCTTATGACCATTAGTGCGGACGGTGGCGTTGCACCACTAAGGCTGTTGTATGCCTACGAACGTATCCCGGTACAAGTAGGGATGGCTGTTCCAGATAAAGGCATTAGGCAAAAGTGAGGCAGGATGGATGACATGTGAGTCATATTTTGAATACATGGCAAACACATTTGAGCCATACCTGACCGCCAACAACGTACTGCGACCAGTGATCATGTTTTTGGATGGTCATGTGTCACATAAGTCCGCGAATTTTGTACATCTAAAGAAATTGAGCTTGTGGCCCTTTTGCCTAATGCCACACACATCTTGCAACCATTAGATGTTGCAGTTTTCCACCCTTTAAAAACGGCGTGGAAAAAAGCTGTTGGGGAGTGGCGCTTTCAACATTCTTCACAGAATGTAAGATTTCCCGGCCATTTTACAAACCGTAATTAATTCCACCTTGAAGCCAGAAACCATTAAAAACGGGTTTAAAACTTGCGGCTTGCTAAGTTTGAGAGTCCAGACATTGACTTGACCAAAACAGTTGGGAACTTGGCCCAAAAACCAAAAGCAAAACCGATTGTGAAGAGAAATGATGAGGTGGAAAAGATCAACACCACGTTGGTGTATCTCGAAAAAAATATAGGGAGTGAGGAACTGAAAGTTTTTAGGCGTGGTGGGCCTGTAAAGAGGCGGGATGAATCCCACTTTGAGGTATGGAGGAACATTAGAGAAGATCTCAAAATTGGTGCCAATGATCTTCCCAACAAACCCGACCGTCCCAACGCCACGATTAATCCCAACGAAGAACTCGATGCCACCATTTTGCCTGAAGAAGCAGACGCCCCTAATGTTTTCACACCAGTTGTGGAGCCAGACTTTAACATTGAAATGTCTCTAGATGACTTGAACTATACCATTGTGCTAAATGAGGAGCTACTTGAAGACTTGGGCCTTGGTCAAAACATGGTTGTTGAGTTGGGTTTGCCAGTAAATGTTATTTCTGAACCAATTTTACAAAATCTACAAAACTCATCATTGGCTTGTCAACCAACCCCCTCCAAGCTTTTGACGTCATCTAGCTCAAACGCCCCCCGCCATCTACTTCACTCAAGAAAACGTTAAAGACATCATACCATCACCTTTCAAGCACTGTGTTTTTTGGCCTGGTCCAAAAACTGACTCTGGCAAAATAAAAAGAAAAGGAACAGCGTGAAAATGCCTATAGTCATGACATCTGAAAAATGGAAGGTGTATCACAAAAACCTGGCAGAACAAAAAGCGAAAAAAGCAAAATATTTAGAAGAAAGAAGAGAAAGAAGGCAAAATCTACAAGCCATGAAAGAACAGACCATGAAAGTAAAGAAAGAAAAGACGAGCAAAAAGAAACAAGAAACAGAAGAAGCTTCATCTGAGCTCGACGAGAATTAAAAGGCCCAACACAAAGGACATTGGGTCGTAGTGCCATATCAAACTGTTAGAAACGATGAAGACAAGAAATTTATTGGTCAAGTGCTAGGTGTTCAACAAGACGAAAACACGGCTGAAATTAAATTTCTCACCCAAAAAGGAGGAAAATTTATTTGGCCTGAAGTCGATGACATTGACGATAAAGTCCCTCTTGCAGAAATAATAAACATTTTAGAAGAACCATTATTTGACAGACCAGGGTATCTCACTTTTAGTTCGTAAGTAAACAACAAACAGTGAATCATCTGAACAAGGTATTTTGTACATAAGCCACTACAGATATGTAGTAAATGTTGAGTAGGTTAAGTTAAACCCTTTTTTATTCGTAAAAGTGTATTTTCTTCTTTGTTGTAGGTTTTAATACTTATTTGCTTGTACCGCTGTTTGATGGGTTTATGTTCATAATTTACTACCACAGACTTCTTTTGATTGTGCTTTAAGTTGTAATTAATATTTGCTTGTAATGTTGTTGCAAAGTCTTTTGTACATAAGTTATTACGGACATTGTGAATTTTTATTAGTCTTAAAAACTCATTTAAAGTCATAAAAGTGTATTTTCTTCATTGTTGTAGGTTTTAATCTTTATTTGCTTGTAGGCCTACATTGTGTATTGTTAATGGGTATTTTGTATATTTTACTACAACGGACTTAAAATTTGTGAGTAGTCTAAGATAAACCCATTTTAATTTGTAAAAATGCATTTTCTTCTCTTCTTTGTTGTTTGTTTTATTCATATGTTCATGTTGTGTGATTTTATAGAATAAACAATGATTTTATGCAAAATATAACGCAAATGATTACTTTCCACATCTTATTATATAAGTTAACTTTTAATTGAGTATAACTCGGAAACTAAGCAAACACTACTCTAGGTGGTCATGGCGAAGCTATCGTCATCGGCTGCTACGTATGTCGGTGGTAAGCAGTGTGTTTATTTTCGTCAGATGTCGATGTTTTTACTACTGATCACGATTGTTATTGTTAAAAATACCCTAACTTACTTTTGCCAAAGGTAAAGACATTTTTATTCAACTCTGAGCATGTTTTTTTCAGTAAAAATACTAAGTGATTGTTGTTTAGCAAGATCGTCAAACATAACCTGTTAGTTAAGGGTAATGTTTGTAGGGTGGTGAATAACAACATATTAAGATACAAGTGGTAATTCAGGAAATTGAAAACACAATGAATCTTTAAAAATACATTTATTACAAATATAAAGTTAACTTGTATTTTAATTCCCTCTTACAAACTTACTGTTGGCAATTAGGACATGAGATGTCGGAATAGTTTTCATTAGAAGTTAAAACTAGTGTTTTTATTTCATAAATATGAAATATTGAGGTGTTTTTCATGGTTAATTTATCTAAGGCAAATTGATTTATTCCATTAAACACAGGTTTTACATAACGTTAATATTTTTTATGACCTAAGACAGCTGATTTCTGGTCTTAGGGTGTTGGTATTTGGGGCATTTACCTTAGCTTTGTATAGGACGTATCTCTTGCAACCGCGTTAGTTTCGTTCTAGCAATTTTATTCATGACAGTGTCAATTATACAGTCCACTGATATACATTTCTACATCAATAAAATCATAGTTCATTTCAAAGTGTTAGTTTTTTTGAGCCGGATTCGCGATATCGTGCGAGTGAAGAGTGAAAGTAGTGAAAAGTGTGTTTTGGATTACCACCATCATCTTCACAAAAGTAAGTCCTCATTCCTTTTCCTTTGATCAAGCAAGCTAGAATGGAAGAAATTAAAAAGATAGTCTCCAAAAGAGCTATCATCAAGTCCAAATTAACCAGATTGAAGTCTTTCCTCGATAAAGTTCAAGATTCTTTAATTCCAAAAATGAACATTAAATAAAAGGTGACATCTTTTATAAAAGGAAAAATATTCCTCACAAGACTACACGTCTGTGTGTGAGGAAGAGTCCATGGCACTCGCTGACGTCACTCTTAAGTTGACATAGACCAAGCCCAGGATTTATCTCAGCTGGAAGATAGAATGTCCATATTTAGGGATTTGTTATCGGAGTTTGTTTCAGTATGATACTGATCCCGACTTGGAGAGAGAGTCATTTGAGAATCAATATTTCAAACTTTTAGCTAAATCAAAAGCTTTCCCAAGTCAACAGAAAATATTGAATTGTTGCCACCAAATAGTCACCAATCCTCTGTAGCATCCCAAGTTAAATTACCTACAGTTAAAATGCCCACTTTTGAAGGAAGATATGAAGATTGGCTTCATTATCAGGAACTAATTAGAACTCTAATTGATGACAACAACACCCTCTCAACCGCGCAAAAGTCTCATTATTTAAAATCTTCACTTCAAGGCTAAGCCCTTAAAGTTATAGATTCGCTTGAGGTATCCTCATCAAATTATGAGATAGCTTGGAATTTATTGAAAAGTAGATTAAAAAACAAACGGATCATTGTAAACAACCATGTCTCTTCAATTTTCGATCCGAAGAGAATAGATAAAGAATCTGGTGTAGCTCTTCGTCACCTTCTAGACTCTTTAAACCAACACATCAGGGCCCTAGCTTCTTTAGGTCAGCCAAAAGAACATTGGGATTGTTTGTTAGTCAACATAACAACTAGAAAACTAGACTACAACACAGTCAAGCTCTGGGAAAAACAGCCAGTCACAACTGAAATCCCAATGTTCAACGAACTCTCAACATTCCTAGAAAACTGTTTTAATCTTTTAGAATCACTTGAAACCAATAGACCGAAAAAATAAAGCTCATAACCCCCAACTTCAGTCTCTAGTCAGCGCCAGCAGCACACCAACTTGTACTCTGTGTGATAGTAATCACAATTTGTATCAGTGTGGTAAATTTCTGAAACTCACTGCATCAGATTTCAAATAGTGAAAAAACTAAGATTATGTATCAATTGTTTTTCTAAAGACCACCTGATTAGAGACTGCACCACTTTGTTAACTTTGCATAGCTTCGTATAGGACGTGAGAGGCAGTTCCCTTCACGTATCTCACTTTTAGTATTAACTCAAATTTAGTTACAACCGCGTTAGTTTCGTTCTAGCAATTTTATTCATCACAGTGTCAATTATACAGACCACTTATATCCATTTCCTACATCAATAAAATCATAGTTCATTTCAAAGTGTTAGTTTTTTATTATTCCATAACACTGGTGAACATCATGCGCCGCAACATCTCTTCTAAAACAACTTCTATAGTGTTACGAGCTCACCTATCTGTTTGAAATACTTTTCCAAATTGTCACAGTCCAGTTTTGTGCGGCAGAAGATAATGGCTCGGTCCATCTTGTGACGATCGATAGCTTTCACACAGTATTCACCTTTCAGAAGCTTAACAGCTTCAGACAGTGTTTCTGCAAAATAAAATGTACTGTTAGAATTTATGTGGTCAGAATTTCACTCACAAAGTGGAAAGTACAAAGCAATGTGACATGTTAAATGTAAACTAAAGAACTGTTAAATTAATCATGATCATAGGAACTTTTACAAGGAACTGTGGAGTGTAAACTTTACCCCGGGAAACTTTTGCAAAGGAAACAGCTTGTTAGCATGAAGGATGTAATTATCAAGGCCCCACTAGAAAAACAGGCCATGCTGCAGAATCTACGACGTCACACTTTTGGATAGATTCAATGCCATATCCCATATGTTCTAGGTAAATAATCTGGCTGTTTGTCAGATTTTAATGGTAAGATTTTAGTACAGCTATCCACCACTGTGACGTAGTGTTGCACTGCCCGCGCTGCAGCATGGTCTGTTTTTAAGTGGGGCCTTGAAAATATCAAGCAAAAAAGGGATGGGTCATCTATATTATATAAAATCCAATGTATGTTTGTTTGTCGTTTTGGTCCTTTATGTGTTACCAAACCGGTCATCCGATTGTGATGAAACATTGGGAAGTTGTTCTATACACTACCAGATTTCTGTACTGAGCCGTGACTATTTCCACCGGGCGAATGTCACGACTCATGATCAATGGTTCAAGTGTTTTTTTATAGTAGGCTAGTTCAGTGTTTCGTTGTCACTCCACGACCCCGAACAAGGCTGTGGGTTTTTGTTCTTATTACTCCCACCGCCAAGCACTTCAGAGGTTGCGTGACAATCAACTAGTTAACCTCGCAGACATTTTTCCATCGTTTTACATCGCCCTTTTGGCACATGTTTTATGCAAAGTCAATTATGTTTTTTAATTTGTGCTTAGTCTGCGAGGTTATGGAGTAGTTCAAGTGCGCCACGCGCGCCTTTTGGGTGAGTTTTGCACATTTTTCTAAAGTTAGGTTAGCTGCACATGGTTGCACTAGGTCTGGAACCTAGTCTTGGGGTCGTGGAAGACTTTTGATAGTTAGTTTCCCTGTTCTCTGTTGTTTTGTATAATTCAGGGCCTTGCCCGAAATGCTAGGCCTAGAATTGACTGAGAAATGTTTGTTGGAAAGCCGCTATTTGAGAGAAACTGCCAAGTCAGTTTTGGGTCCTTCTGACTGTTTTGTGGTAGGCCTAGGCTTACAATTTTTGCTCAGTAAATGTAATTGTCTTAGGCTACTACTTCTGGTAGTCTTTTGTTTCTGTGTCCCGTACAATTTTTAGTGTTGTTTGTCTTGTAAAATGTTCAGTTTGTGTTACCCAGTCAAGTAAGGTTAAAGTCTTTTATTTTGCTTTGTCCTTGCCAAACTAGTTAAATTAAGTTGAATTAACTGCTCTTAAAGCTCCCCAGAAAGTTTGAGTCATTTTACTCAAGTTTTTAGAAAGTTACAGTAATTTTTAGTTTGGCAACTTTTCATTCAGGTTTGAACTGGGTAACCTGGAAGGCCACTGGTTCCTGCCTTTGAGTTAAGGTTTGGAATGGTCTGGAAAAGCTGCTGGAACATTTCCCCCAGCTTTTAAGACCATTCCGAACAAATTCTGATCACAACTTTTGGAGAAATTAGCAAAAATACATGAGTCGTTGCGTTAGGCCTAAATTTTTGTATGGAACGTTTTTTGTCAATTTTAAAGTATTTTTCTGTGTTTAAGTGTCAATTGTTCTCTGTTAACTTGTTCTTCTGGCCACTTTGGACCAGACAATTTAAATTTTTTTCTCTCAATTGGTGAAATTTACCACTGTCACATACCCGTCTGGCCTGCTGACATTGTTACCGCAAATTAATGTTACCATTCTTGTACTGTTTAATCTGTTAGTTGTTTTATTTAAAATATTGTTATTGTTTGAAATGTTTTATATTGTTAAAGAGCTGTGATAGAGAGAGAAACCTTTTAAAATTTTATTATCTTTTTGAAAATGATATATTAAGCCTAATCTGTGGATTTTTGGAAGTCAGTGAAAAACAAAACAAACGTGTGACAGTGAACCTTGCGGTAATGAACTTAGACTGTGACTACTGTGTTTTCTGGGTTTGTCACTCAGGGCCCAGGAGGACTACCGTTTGAAGTCAACCTTCTACGTTTGGAGCATGGGCGGAGAAACACTTCTTCGTGGGGCCCTCTTTTGGGATCCGGGCCGGCCACCCCCCTCTCCGTCGAACTTCAGCAGCCCTCCTGTGATGTGCGCCTGAAGACCCATGAACTAGTTATCCGTCGTACCGCAAGTTACTTGTTGTTTTGTTTTCACCACATATTTAAATCATAGTTGGATTCATAAAAAGAGGAAAGAGACTATCTAAAGTTATTATTGTTGAGGCCTACAGAGTTTATTTTTGTTATTTCTTTTTAAAAATTTATTTTAGCTAGCCTAATTATTTGTTAATCCTTAAAAAACTTTTATAACCTTTTAATTAGCCTATCCAATTAAATTTCTTTTTTGGGGCCCCTAAATGTTAAATGGTTACCAGTTATTTAAAGGAAGAGATTTTTATATATTCATTGTTGCAATTTTACAAATTTTATTTTACTAAGGTTAAAACTGATTAAATTTACTTTGACTGAATTTAGCCTATTTTGAATTTTTTAAATTAATGTTCCTTTGTAAGTTAGTAGGCCAAATTGGTAACAAAAATTTATTTAAACTTTAATTGAGAGTATTTACTTCATGTATTATTGTTAATGTTGTTGTTTATTTTTTTAATGGTTAATTACAGCTCGTTTCTCTCAAATGGCGTGTTGTTCTTGAACCTCCATCCATGGTTCTCATTTTGTTAAGTAAAGTTTTGTGAGCCGCTCCTCGGGCCTGCGCATGGATCACGCTTCCATTTCGTTAGTCTGGGGGCAGACTCGAGGGCATGGTTCATCTGGTAGCAGAGCGTGGTTAGTGGGTTGCGTCTTGGGTGCCTTGTCGTGAAACTTGGTTTCACGACTCGGATACTTAGGGATGCGATCACTGTCCACGTTCTATTTTTTGTTTTGTTTGAAGAGCCGTGGATGGATTGGTTTCTTGGAAATGTTCTGGCCTGGCAGTTTTGGAAAAGGGCCTTGTTGTGTTGTGGTGGGGCGTAAACACTTTTTATTAGGAGCTCGCCCTTTGGCCGAGGCACCGGGTGGAATCGGTGGTAATGACTTGCATCCTTCGGGAGCAAGAGTGTCAAAAGCATGGTCATGTGTCAAAAAAAAAAAAAAAAAAGGGTTTGTGTGTACACCCCATCACACAAGTGTTAGGTGTTGTCTAGTGTATGTATCGGTGTATGTTTGTGTGTGTGTACGTTCGTGGGTCATTTGTTGTTTTTTCTTGCGGTACTTGCGGTATGAATGGGCAGGTTCTTCTTTTGGGCCCCATCAGGTGCGTAGGCATCAACGTCCAGAAGCCTTAGGAATTAAATTTCTGTGTTTGTTTTGTAAAAAAAAAAAAATGTTGTTGGCTGTTGTTTTGAGTCAAGTGCTGGTTGAGACTCGGTATGGCGTCAATTGTGCCGGAATATTTGAGGAAGCCGGAGCTGGTGTACGAGGTGCGGTCCCGGGGGGAGACTCCTGGAACTGATGTACGCACTTTGTGTACACAGTTCAGACAAATTGCTAGCATGCCTCAAGCTTGGGTTGAGTCTCTCAGTTTGGATGAGGAACTGGAGGCATGTAAAGAGAGGATGGAAGAGCTAAGTGGGGAAATTAATAGTTGGAGTAGTTTGCCTATGGGCTCAGCTAAGGGTTCGGCTATCACACAGCTGACGCACTGGCGTAAGCGTCTGCTCTTGGTTTCAGGGCAACCTGAAATCCAGGATGAAGACAAGAGTTGGGTGGAGGCCAGAATTCTTGAGCTGGAAGGTATTTTGGAGAGTATTAAGGCAGGAAAGTCTGTCAAAGAGAAAGTTGAAATTTTTGAAGACAACCGTTCTTCGGAAATTTCAAACGAAGTACCAAGGTCAGTTGATGATGTGACTCCAGTGGGTACCCCCCAGGCTCCGCCTACGCCAAGTACACTGCTCCAGTTGCCTGCAAATGTTCAAATGTCAAATGCAAATGTCACACCGTCCCCCTCTCACACGTCCACCTTGGCTGCGGCTACGCTGAATGTCCAGTTCCCATCTCCCTTACCCTCTCAAGTCCATAGTTCCCCTTCCATCTCTAACTCCTTTGGCAAACTCCCCCATCCCCTTGCTTCTGTCCTGAGTGGTTTCCGGCCGGTGGACGGGTTAGATGTGAATGGTCTTTGTTTTTTTCTGGAGAGTGTTTTGCGCATGCGTGAATACCCTGGCATGTCAGACGCAACTTTGATGGAACTCATTGCTCCATACTGTCTGAAACCGTTGGTGGACAGATTGCTTGATTGTTTGCGCAGAGGCGTCACCTTTAATGTTTTTCATAAAGAAGTTTTGGAGCTTTTCATGCCCCGTCGGGTCATGGAGAAGCTGAAAGTTGAGAGAGTTTTTCGTCCTCAGCAGCCAGCCGAGTCTCTCAGCCAGTACGTGGGGGACATTCGCACGGTGGAAAGGGTCTTGCGTTTGGGGATCAGTGAGCTTGAGCTCATTGACATTGTGCTTCAGGGGTTGAAGCCTGAGGAACGCTCCCGTTTGGTTTTTGCACCACGACCTTCATCTTTTGCGGATCTGGACAGACTTTCCATCCTTTCGAGATCTGTCCAGGACGCTGATTTCCAGAGAGACCAAGCGGCGGGGCATCTTCCCCTAGCTGGTCATCATGCTGTCGTAGCACCCGTGGGGTTGGGTCCCGAACCGCCGCAGTGGCAGAGGCAACCTGTTGTTTGTTTTGGTTGTGGGCAACCAGGTCACATTCGGCGGCATTGCCGTCAAGGTGGAAATTTTGGACGTGGTCCAAAAAACTAGTTTGCTCACAGGAGGAAAAATTGCCCAATCCTTCCTGTGAGGTTGTTGGTGATAATGTAAAGGGCAATAATTTGAATGTTTTTTCAAGTAAGTCAAAGTCTAAGTTAAAGTCAGTTAATGTTTCTGTTGCCTCCCCTTCTGGGAGTGTT